AGGACTGGTCAGCCAGTACCGCCCGTTACTACAGACTGGTACCAAGGTGCTGAGCATTGAAGGATCATTACATTTTCAACATAAAACATCATTTAGACTCTATTCTGTTTGTATCAGAGTCTGAATGACCTATTATTTTAAAAATATTTCCATATTATAAATAAAGAAAGTAACTGGATATGGTGGATTTTCTTTGAATTAAGTAAATTATTAAAAATTAAGCACATTTTTCCACTGTGTCCCACAGCGTCCCAGTACCAAATGACTTATGGACTGGTACTGGTTCGCAGACCGGGGGTTGGGGACCCCTGATCTATAAAGTCTTCCATTTACAACCGGCCTTCTAGGGAAACTGTATTGGTGATGTGGCCCCCGGTGAAAATGAGTTTGACACCCGTGCCCGAGGCCCATAGCCCTCACTTTAACTCTCACAAATATGTGCCTCATTCAGTTCTTCAGCCAACTTCTCTGAACCAAAAAAAACAAAAGAAACTAAATCTTAAAATCTCACACTAGTTTTGGACCTACAAAAGAAACTTAAAATCTCACACTAGTTTTGGACCTGCAAATGTCCTGACAAGAACAAAGTGTCCCTACAACAATTGGACGACTCCAGAGTTGTGTCCCTACACATGTAGCTTACCAAGGATGACACACACACACACACACAAAGGCAATAAGAACCAATCTCTCCCACTGTTACATCATCTGTCACACACAGACTCAAAAAAATACCTCTGTCGGACGTCTTTGGCTCTTGACTTATTCTAATGCTTTTCATCAATAATCTTCCCACAGCTGCCGACGACGACAACCTCAGGGTCAAAAGTAATATTTTTTATAGAAGCGTGTTGAACAAGTTTGATCAGACAAGGTATAAAAATAAACACAGAGATGTGTTTCGTTTGCACTTTGTAATAAGTCACAGATGTTGCAAGACCATTTTAGAGATTGTTAGACTTTTATAGCTCGCCTTTTCTAAATGGACAGACAACAACATGGATATACCAGCTCAGTGACACAGAGGGAGTATTCAGCCAGACTGACCACTACATTTATTTTCAGGAACAGCAGTTTCTCTTTTATGCAGATGATACCAATACTTTTTATTCTAAATAAACATTTCATCCCAGTGAGCAGGAAAATGACACGACATGTTGAATCTCTATCACCATTACACAGTGTGATCAGTCTTAACACACGATGACAGACCTGAGCCAGAAAATTGTCTCCGTTTCAGTGTGTGCTGCCAACTTTCTCCTGCTGAGAACGAATGCGAGGCTGTGGCAGCCATCACATCTACAATCAGTTTATTCTAAGGAGAAGGAAGCAGAATAAATCGTTTCCTATCATTATCACCATCAATGTCAAGGTTTTTTTCTTTCTTTGAGAAAACCACAGACTTTTTACCCATGTCATAGTCTGGTTTTCAGGGGAAAAGAAACCAAGTCATCTCTGCTCTGTCCAGATCGACACTTGATCGACAGTGGAATTGCGGAGCGTCCTTCAGTGGAACTCTGTAATTGATCTGGAATTTTTCCAGCTCTGAGCCCACTGAGCTGTGAGGAGGAGAGCAGTTCCGTTTATGCCAAACCCGGAGTCAAGTCCTTTCCACGGAGCCCATCAGTAAAAAAATGTCACCGCATTTTTTTGTTTCAGCCTCATGGCATTACTTCATCGCTCTCTCCTCAGAGGCTGCTGACCTTTGTCCACTCGAGAGTCGGACGTCATTCTCCACTCTAACAAGCACACAGCGCATTTTCCACGCATTTGTGCCTCTGCCTGGTTGTCATGGATACAAAGCCATAACAACTGTCTCCTGGGAACGCAACGAGGACTTGGAGAGTCATGTGACGTAGAGAGAAGCGAGTAAAGACGGGGGACATGGGGGCGGGGTAACTGATTCTGTTATCAGTCAGGCATCATCGACTATTTGGCTTTCACCTGAGTCACTTCATTGTCATGTTGCATAACATCAAAGCAAAAATCAGAGGAATGTAATTAAAAACTAAAAACTGGAAGAATGTAAATATCGTACTGGGTTATAAATAAAAAAGCTAACGGTAGAGGCATACAGATATAAACAAACACCAAAAGTTGAACAAATGGAACTGTAAATTATCAAATTTCAACTCAAGGTCAAATATAACTATGAAGGTGGATAGATGCTCAACAGTAAAATAGCTAAAAATGTTCAAAACAATGATACAAAGTTAGTAAACATAGACAAAGATAGACAAAAATATAGCATAATATATGCAAAACTAATGACCATATATAGAATATAAATATCCTGAGGCAGTCAAAATTAGTCTAAAAATGGATCAACTTTAAAAGTTTACAAAAACCTCAGAATGGCAAACCGTAAGGTCGTACTTTATACATAAACATGAGTTTAAATGAAAACCTGCAGCAGAAGAGGAAGCAGGGAAACAACAACTTATGTAATAGTGCAAAAAATGTGGCTCTGACTTTCTCCTGTTCATGGATTTTGTTTTTATCCTGCGGCGCCTGATTAGCATCAGACTTTTGCTTATTCATGAAAACTGACACATTTTAGCATCTGATTTACACCCATACAGAGATGAGGACACCATGAGGACTCTAAACAGTGTGTGTGTGTGTTAATGTGTGTGTGTGTGGGGGGGGTGGAAGGCAGTGTTGCAAATTAGCAAAGGCCTGGAGCAAACTGACCTTGACATATCTAAAATACATAAATACCCCTGTATTTTTAATCACAGGGGTAATTGTGCCTCCATAAAATGTTTAATTCTGGACAAATCTAACTGCAACAGTCTCCTGTCCTCTACTGTGATGCACATGTCCTGCCTGGACAATCAAAAGTGTTGCCAAAATAGACAACAGCCTAATTGTACGCAAACCAAGGGCAAATGACTGTAAGGATAATGATGTTTAAAAAAATGACAAAAAACAATCATCCCAATATATGAAGATATCAAAATAATACAGGGCGGCTAATACTCAACAACAGGTCAGTGGTCCTATTCTACCATTACCATGTGATGCTAGATGCTTTTAGGCTACGCCCATGTTAGCCAGAAGAAAAATGGCACAGAACAAAGAAGTAAACTAAAAGTTAGCCTATTACTAAAGTATTCATAAATTAAGCAAAATACCTAAATGTTAGCCAAGAAAATCACTGATATTTGAGCACAGAAAATAGTAAATGTTAAATAAATTGCTCAAAAAATGTAAACTGAGAAAAAACCAAACTGAGAAAATTGTTAAAACAAGAAAAAAAACGAATCTATGCCACAGATTCCTATACAATTAAATAATCAATTTTATTCCATTTAAAGTGTTTGCTGTGTGTGATATAAACACAGAACACACAACAATGAAGTCAACAGTTATTAAAATATGAAATGGAGTGATTTAATTACAGCTTGTGGGCAGGAACAGTAGCCTCTGTTTTCACGCCAACAGTAGCCAGCTCTATATTCAGCTCCAACATTAACACGTTTCCTAGGAAAACTGTTGCTTCACAAACAGAGTCGGAGTCTGCTGCAGTCTCCTGTTTCTGAGCCGTGTGGATGGAAACTGCAGTAGGTAACTGAATCCACTTTAGCCTGAGAAAACCTCATCAATCTTTACGTAAACTAATAAACTGCAGTCATGGTGGACTTCTCAGAAAACAACTTCAGCTGAGATCTGAAATCTGATAAAACCTCAATCACATCCACAGCAGCACTTTGTTACTGAAGACTTGTTGGGAAAAACAGCTTTCAGCCGGCAGAGAATTATCTTAGTTTTAGCCTTGAATAGTAAATAAATAAATTACAAGAAGTTAAAAATACTAAACATAATAAATTAAAGGAGAATTAAAATGAATTCCCATAGGTTACATTAACGCTGCATTAAAACATAGCAAAAATCAATATTAGCCTAAAAGCTAGCATTAGCAACAGAAGATATAGCTGTCAATGTATTAACAGCCACCAGGTTAGTCAAAACTAACCCAAAGGTAAGAAAACCAATAGCCCAAACATGCTGCCAAGTTAGTAGTTGTCTCTACTACTAACTTCTTTGACTAAGATTTTGTTTCAGTTTTACTGAAATGCAAGTTTGAATTTTGCTATATTGCAGAGTCTGTTAGCTGCTCCGTTGGCTAACACTGAGCCTACTGTTGGCCACATGTGCATTTTTGAGACTGTGGCTGAGAAATGCCTGTGCTGCTTGTACTTTCTTGTTTATGGATTTATATAGTTATAGTTTTTATATAAAGGAGAAAAGATCAAAATAATCCCATTAACACAAGTTCAAAGAAAGTCCTTCATCCACATGTCCTAGCAGATAACAAGCTATGGTTACCCAGAGGGGACATTTGGACTTTTAAGCTTCAACATGACATTTTAACTTTGATCATTTTTTTTTTTAGTTTGACATTTTCTTTCTTTATCTTTGGCATTTTGTTAAATATATGTGTAAACTGCATGATGTCCAAACCTTTAATATCAGAAATGTTTTTAATTCCTAATGTCACATTTGGCATCAATCCCCAAGGTGGACAAAGCTAAGACGCTCATTCCCATTCAGGGCTGGGACAACCTTGAGGTGACACTTCAGAGGTTTAACATTCCTTCCAGGGATTGGTGTGTACAAACTGTTGATGGTCGGCGGTTAACAAAGAATTAGCCTATCAAGATAAATTAACTTTTTTAATTTAGCTTAATTCAGTTTAAATGTCTTGTCTCCCGTGGGCTTGGATATCGAAGAGAGACTGACACTGAAATCTGGTTTAAATTACTCTGAGGTTTTGTTTTGTTTTTTACAGCCACAAAAGAAGCTGGAGGACAGTCAACTCCAGAGGAAAGGAGAGAATGAAGGGAATGAACCTAAAGTCCTTTATTTTTTATTTAAAGCATCATAAAACCAGACATTAACTAAATATAGTTCATTGATGAGTAGAATCAGCTTCAAACACAGACAATGAAATCATCAGTGTGAATCTGTGTGTGTGTGAAGACACACACTCTCACCCTGAAGTCGATGCCCACGGTGGAGATGAAGCTCCCGGCCAGAAAGGCTCCATCTTTGAAGCGGACCAGCAGACAGGTCTTTCCTACACCTGAGTCTCCCACCAGCATCACCTGAGACACACACACACACACAGAGAGAAGCATCATCAAACTGAATAAATGTGCTACACAGTCCTCTGGTCTTCACACTCGTGGGGACGTTTGAGGAGTCCATCAGGATAAAATGACAGACAAACTGTGGCTCGGTGAACGTTATGGACTCAAGATCCTCAGAGGGACATGAGACTGGATCCCTGAAGAACACTTTAGAACGTTCCAGGAATTTAAATGAGTCTGGTGAAGTCAAAAAGGTCAAACACTTTTTTGATGTTTTTTTAGGGCAGGGGCCTCAAACGTCCAGCTCAGGGGCCACTTCCAGGTTGAAATAAAAAAAATGTTTTTAGCAACTAAAAGATGGAGGTAAAACAAGTTTGAGGTGATTGAGGAGTTGCTTTGGTACTTTAGGTCAGCGGTCCCCAACCTTAACTAATATTATCACCAAACGTGGTCAACAGTGTTACTTGTAAAGACATTTAAAGAGCTTAATTTTTTTCAAGTCTTCATATTAAATGAAAACTATATTGTCAAACACATTTCCATTCAACCCCTATCACAGAGGAGGAGCCAACCCCAGCAGTCTGCTGGGCAGAACATGCAAACTTCACACGGAAAAAAAACAGGAATTAAACCATCACCCTGGAGATTATCTGGCCCCATGTTTGATCAACTTCTTCACCTAATCTTAATCTGACATTCTGACAGCTGTGACTCTGTGCTGTTCACTTCCATCACTGTTGCCTCTCTGTCCTCTGGCATCTACAGCCCGATGACAAACTGCTGCTCCTTGGATCTATCTCTCTGTTTTTGGACTATTTCTGTTAGACCCAGAGAAGGTTGCTGGAGAAAATCCCAACACATGTGCAGTTTTTGAGTCACTCACCTTCAGTGTTTCTTCTGGTGCTCAGTCTGTTCTCCGACAGCTTCACTTTAACACACTGACGCGACTTCATGTCACGTGACTGATTAATTAGACGTTAGCATTAATTAGTAGTTGGATCACGTGATGTCTTTGAATCCCACAGGTTGATTAAAAAAATAGTTTGAACCTTCAGCGTTAACCTTAATCATTAAACATTGTCTATAGGAAAATACAAATGAACTTTAACCAGAGACAGGTGTGTTGTTTTGATGCTAATCGCTGGTTTGTCCAGCGAACGTGTGGTAATTACGATTTAGTTTAAATTATAATTAGACACCGCCTCTCGGAAGTATTTTGTCTTCAATACTGTAGTAAAAAAAC